AAAAGACGCCTTCATGTATACAAATTTCAAAAAGTCATACGAAATGTCACTTTTTAAAAGTCAACAAACAGTCCCTAAGTAAAGAACTAAATGAAATGGTTGAAAGTCTTTTTTTTTTTTTTTTTTTTTTCTCTGTCTTTCTCTCATTACAAGCTACCTGCAACTACATCTCGTACAACCGCGACTTTTTGAAAGCAATTTGCAACAACCAACTATCCTTGATTTTTATGCTCTAAGCAATATGCAAAAACAACTAACATTTAAAATCTATATATTACCTCATGCTTTTCCCAATAAAAATAACAAAAACTTTTAAACAAACATTCCAACCATTTATCCAATCCTACAATTCATAATTCAAAAACTCTCTTCTCTCTCTCTCTCTCTCTATATATATATATATATATATATCTATCTATCTATCTATCTATCTATCTATCTATCTCTATCTATCTATCTATCTCTCGTAAGACCACAAAGTAATTGCTTCACCTAAATGACGAAAACAATACAACAATAATAAAATATAAAAGATTAAAGACAATCGCAATAACACAAACTTTTAAAAAATATAAAAGTTATGAAACATTTAAAAATATTGATTACGGAAAAATCAAAAGCAAAATATTACATATCTTACAAGAAGCTAGCTTTTCAGCCCGGATGCCCGAGCCACCTCAGGTCGCCCAGCTGTGCGACCCCCCCGGCCATCCCCCGAGCCCCCATAGTGTCGTCGCCCAAATGGCTTTGGAAAAAAAAATTGCGCTGCCGGCTGGAGGCCCAGAGGGAATTTTGTTTTTTGGCGGCCGCCCGAATATTTTTTGCGATCCGGTAGGCTCTGTTTCGTAGTTTTTTTATTTTTTCAGGACTTGGGCCGTCGATCTGTGTTGATCGATGGCGTGAAAGTCCCGAGATTTTGAATTTGAATCCTGGGGACTTGCCGCGCGGCCCGACACCCTCCGCCCTACCCCCCGCACCAGCTCGTTGTTTCCCCGTCGTTGTTGCGTGGTCGCCCTGCCAAACCATCGTCGTCATCACCCTGCTGCCCTCCGGCACGCCACCATCGTCGCTGTCCACCCACGCCATCCTCCTTGCCCCTAACGAAGACTGCCTGCGTGTGTTAGAGAGAGAGAGAGAGAGAGAGAGAGAGAGAGAGAGAGAGAGAGAGAGAGAGAGAGAGAGAGAGA